ATTATTGAATGATATTCTGTGAATTATATTCGTTTACCTCACATGTTTTCACCTCCGTCTGTTTGTGTATTCCGCAGGATTATAAAACCACTGGGTGGATCAGCAGGAAAATCCAGATAAAGCTGCGGATCCAGTTTTTTTCTTTCTTTCATCAACATTGTGAGAGAAAGATTTTCCACACTTTCACGTCCCACAGAACAATTCATGGATCTTGAAAAATCTTATTCTAAAATATTTATGTGCTGATGATGAACATCTGGATCGGGTGAATTGAAACCTGGTTTCATATCGGGACCACTGGTGGAGGTTCACATGATTCATGTGTAAAGACTGAGAGCGTGTAACATGTAAACACAACAAAACCAGCGTGTTTCAGAACCTTTGATTCACGATGAGTTTATTTCAGAGAGGTCAGAGGCCGATCATATTTTTATATTTAAAAAAAATGTGCAGCTATTGCTGCTGCATGAATGAAGACAGAAAAAATATTAGTTAACAAAACTATTGATTTCAATTAATGGGACACAGCTTTAAAATGTGACTCTGAGAGTCTCAACACCTCGAGGGGGAAATGTTTAAATGTTTAGAACTGGAGTTTTTTTTTTTATTTGGCATGAAAACCGTGCAAATGAGGATGAAAAGAGCCGAAATGTTCTCAAATCAACTATCGTGTGTATCTGTCACCTGCTGCCTTCTCACTGCTGCTGCGACCCCTTCAGTTAAAAATAGACTCTATTGATCATCTACACGCTGGAGTTCATCCGGTGCGTCCTCTTCAATTAGCTGCATCACTTCACATCGTGTCTGCAGGAGTTTATTACGGACGGTGAATCCTGGAAATAACAAATTCATTTACAGGTGAACAGGAAATAAATTGTCGAAGTAGAAATAGAATCTGATTTACAGAAGCAGAGTAGAATTCTCCACTGAGACAAACACGTTGAAGAACCGCTGACTGTAGCCAGGACGGCCATGTTACCTGAAAACCTTCGACACCCCCTCCTCCTCACCCCTCCCCAGTCACATGAAATAAAAACCTCACAAACCGACAGTTTTCAGAAACGACGGCGGAGCTGCAGGGATTCACACAAAAAGCCTCTGTGCTCGACTGACACCAGATCTGCTCCTCTCACACTCAGGTAGCTGCGATTCTTCCTCAACACAAAAATCTAAGAATGGTTTGATGGAATCTAGTTTTTCTTTTTAACTCAATATAAATATGTTCGTTTTTGGGTTCACTCAACTTATCAAATGAAGTTTTGAAAGAAACTAAACTTCCCAGCATGCATTGCTTCAGAGTTCAAACCCTCCGGTTCGAGCCTGAAGAAAACAGACATGATGTTCACTCACTGCGTCTCAGGGTTGTTTCTTGAAATGAAAACATTTAAATTTAATTTTTATTGCATTGCTGCTTAATTTTGAGAAGCATCTTGTAAGTGCTGGTTTTAAAAAGGTGCTAATATAAAATAAAGTTTATTATTATTACTGATTATAGTTTCAAACAGCTCCAGAAGTTGCTGGTTCACATCTTTATGTCGTTGGAGGAACTGAGGACGGAGGAAGTCTGTGTTGGCTGATAAAACAAAGTTGAGCTCCTAATTTGAAAACTTTAAAAAGTAAAAATTTGCTTGAAATGGAGAACATGTACGGTTCACACCAACACTGGGTATGGTTTTATTTTGGCTGAAAAAATATTTCAACTCAAGAAATTCTTAATTAAATAAGTAAAAATTAAATGTTTTAAAGTTGACAGAATTCTCATTATCAGTGTTGTAACACACTGGATCCGTGTGTTTGCAAGATGAACCAAAAGTCACCACACACACATTTTACAACCTTCGTCACCGTCCTCCGATGAGAGAGTGTCGTCAGGGCGACAGGATCAAACATTCTTCAGCTGATTAATATTTTACCAACATGAACGTCTGTGAAAACACTGAGCTGCCGTCAGATAAACTGCGTCCAGGGCTGCAGGTGTTTCGTCCGTCTCTCACTCCCACAACAGGGACGAAGGTAAGGAGAGGCCTTCGCGGTCATGTGACCCGTCATACAACGGCACATACATGCAGTCGGTCCGTCTGACGGAGCTGACTTCCAATTATATATAGTTTTTTTCATACATGTTTAAATCCTATATTTTTCATTTGAACAACTGTAACTCAACTCCCACTGGTTCAGTTGTGATGATTATAAGTAAATGAATGTTAAATGTGTTTCAAACAAGGGGAAATGTTTTGCCGTATGTGTTCATGCACATGTATGACCTCTGTGACCCCGGCAGGATGCGTGTGCTGTGTGCTCTGGGTCTGTTTCTGACCCTGATGCATGTGTCCAGCCCTCTGCTGCTGGGAGCCTTCAACATCAAGTCATTCGGGGACAAGAAATCCTCCAACAGCACGATCATGAACATCATCAGCAAGGTCTGAAACTGTCCCTCATCAGAGTCATAGCATGAAGACACTGTGTCATGAAGGGAGCTGACCTTCGTCCTCCTCCGTTCTAAGTTTGAATAAATACACGAGCAGTTTAGTGACAGTTGTTCAGAAGGATTTGGGATCAAACCTCAGCAATTACTTTGAATTGTAGACACATGATGTAACTGCACATGAGAAACAGAGCCTATGTGGGTCCA